CAGATAATCCAATCCATCAATCTGTAACCCCTCCCTCCTTCCTTTCCATTCTTCTCCACAGGATCAGGGTAAAAGCACGAGGCAGTCCCAGAGAAGAAGAAAATAAAAATATAACCAGACTATGCACGTCAAAAAATTGCACTGCATTTCCTTGAATACTCACCGATCGTGGCCTCGGGAATAACCGCCCTTGAAAAATAGGCAATGATTAGGCCTAGAAGACAATGGTTAACGAAGATGGTTAGATTAGTATTGATGTGTCTTGATGACGCTCAGACCATATCGTGAAGGCATATAAAGAGCGTGGCTGTCAAAGTCAACCAAGTCAGCACTCCCCACCCACCCCCACTCCCCGCACATCCCCACTCTCCACACACAACAACAGCTCCTCGGAACAACTTCCCCCGCCAGCGTGTCATATATACAATAGAACACAATGGTTCTCACTCGCGCGATGCAAAAGCAACGTGTAAACACGCAAGTCACTAGTGTTGAGGCAACCACCAACGGCGGGGCATCGCTAATACGTACAAGATATTCGCGCGATTTCCAGACAATCAACTTCGAGAGCACCGCCATCTTTAGCAATGAAGCTGAAGGCTCCGCCAACGTCCATGGCAATGCCTTCAGCACTACCACAGGTAGTCACGGTGCTCTACAAGCTTTCACTACTAGAGAGGACCAGTCCGCCTCGACAGGGTCGACGTCCTCCAACCCGAAGACAGCGCAAGCTGCGCATGTCGTCGAAAAGAAACGTAAACGAAATGGTAAGTCTCCCTCTTCATTCCAGTTCAAAGTTCCTCATTAAAATATCTATTCTAGCCGAGGTCCTTGATAGCCGGCCACAGGCCTCGGGATCTTCCACCGAAAGTCCGCAAAATTCTCGTGAAGGTAAGTTAGACCACCATACATAAATGCAGCATTGAGCTGACATAAGGTCCAGACCTTCCGAATGCTTCCTTCCCACTCCCTCCCAGGCTGAAAGCTCGCAAGAAGCGCGGGCATGGGTGGACCCGCAGAAAAATTAGAAGGGCGACTACCCAAGATCGTACTGTCCGGGTAGGCGGCAAGCGCCCAGTCGAGGGCGTCGATGGCGAAGAAGACGAGGCAAGGCGAATGAAGAGGCAGCGTATTAGTGAGGAGGCCGTTGCGGGGTCATCCAACGCACGTTCGATGTCGTTGGACAACATGATTGGTGCAACCAACGTCCGTCAGCTGCGATCGCGCAGCATCGTCTTTCCCGATGGTCCCGCAAACTCGGGAAGCGACGAGGGAAACAGGACGACGAGGTCGCCATCTCCAGATCGTGCACCTGTGAGATCAACGATAGATGATTCTCTGGCAATTGCGGTTGAGTTCGTACAGATCAAAATGGAAGAAGAAGAGGAGGATTACCTCTGGGATACACCTCCGGCATGGGATTGGAGTCCAGTGATGCCAGAGTCTGAACTGACAAACGAGGATACGTTCAAGTTCGATAGTAACCGGAGTACGCCGGAGCTATCGACTGAGCATTCCGAATGCCATATAAGTAAAAGCGAGTCGGTCGGTTCGACACCGATTTCGACGCCACGTGCGCAGTCGGAAGACGTTCAATCGTTTGATAGATCCCTCGTAATTGTTCTTCCGGGAACGATGGAGGAAGAGGAGGCACCGGACGAATTGATGGACGTTCTGGATGAGGGTGAGGACGAGGACGAGATTGATGAATATGTTTCGGGTTCCTTCATCCTTGGTGGCGGAAGAAGGTCAAGGGCTCCCAGCCCTCCATCTCTTCCTCCGTCACACTCCGTCTCACGATTGTCAACTCTCCATCGTGATGAGGAGACAGAAAGCGCTAGATAGTTCGTATGGAGGTGACCAAAAGAAGCGGTTCCATACAGTCTTGAGCGTCACGACCATATCCGACCAAGCCTAGGGGCCTTGTGTTTCAATCGTTCATCTCGACAGCCGTCCAGAGGAAAATGCGTACGATCAAGAGATCATTCCACACCTCGATTACGGTTATGAACTGCAAAGTCAGCCTGCTCGTCCACCTGGCTTCTTGTGTCTGTCTTGTTAGTCCGGGTGTCGGTAATGTGTCCACAGACTTTGAAATCGACCATCGTCAGCAGAGCGTCTGCTCCCTGCTATATATTGCCTCTCCAACGCTATCCGCCATTTATCCGAGTCTTCCGAGGTGCATATCAGCAACCCAACAGTGTCCTCCGATGCAATGGCGAGTTGAACGACTACCGGGCGTCTGAACAACGTCGGCGATAGCCCTTCATCACTTTCGGCACGTTTTTCTCTACCTTTCGCTGTCGCGACTGCACCACTAAGTCCTTCCTCGACTTTCCGCTAGTAGTTCTTGTCCTCCACCTGCTCTGTACTTGTACTTGTATCTGTATTTGTATCTCTTGTTTCCTCTTTATTTTCTCTCTGTTTCGCACTTCCTGTACGGCTAAAGGCCCCGTTCTCCCTGTAATAATATAAAAGCGATGCCCAATTCGGTGTCGGCTTTTGGCTTGCTGATCTCGAAAGATCAGCAAGCCTCCTCATAATCTGGTTGGTCGAAGTGCCCTTCAGAAACGAAGATTAAGAAGATTATGTGCGAGACAACAGTAGTAGAGAGTCTCAGCCATCGTAAATTTCTCCAAGTTAGAAGATCCGTACACTTCCGCGGAAGGTGAGATTGGTCAAAAACACCTGGTGTGCACATCTTATATTCATATTTAATAAACACACTACCGGGACAGGGAATGATACGTCACTCACAAATGGACTCGCTCTGTTTCTATGCTTCAAGGGGACTCTTCACTACCGAGACAGGCTGCAGTCACGATGACTGCAAAAATTATTGGAAACTCATAAGCATTCGGACTGATAAAACAAATCTAGTACGATAATATGCTAATCCTGTTGCTGACGTCGCTCACCGACAAGGCGATGTCGCGAGATCACTGAAGCCTACCACATGGTGACTCAAGGAACCGAGTTTAAGATCCGGCGGGATAGAGAGTCCTGCACAACAGCTCAGCAAGTTACCAAGGTTTGCAGGATTCCGATCCATGCCGAACTTTCGTCAAGTATGCAATCGGCTAGCGCTGGTGTTGGACCAGTCAAAGACAAGAACGAAGTGGGGTCACCCTTGAATAGTCGCACAGAGGATTACTTGGAAAGCTCTAGTACGCTCGTCCTAAATCCTTATTAATGTGTTGAACTAGGATGCGAAAGGAAGTGGACTTACGAATGAATGGATTGAACGTTCATTGTTTCAGTGGGCTTCACTGAGAAGCCAAAGGATGCAAAAAGATGGATGTTCACGAGAAACATCGCAAATACACCATCCCTGAGCGTTTTTAATGGTACACAGGTAGCGATATCGATCTATGAACTTCCACGCGAGGCTTTTGAAGTTTTTTGCAGCGGATGCAGCCGAAATCGATTGAAGACTGGTTTGGTCAACGTAAGCGAGTTACGTCGGAACGGTGAGAAGTGAGAGAAAAGCTACCGTTCGCATTTATTACTCTTGAGCTTGTTTTTGCCTTTGTTAGTCTTGACTCGTGGGCCATCAGGGGCTAACATTAATCCTCGAAAAACGTTAATAGTGTTCTTTTTTGTGTAGCAGAATGAAAGGGATGAGTTAAACTTAAAGTTTGACGTGGTAACAGCTGAGTCAAAATGCGTTACTGCCC